TTCTGATTTGTTTTGGTCTGTCTCCCAGGACCCCGAGACGCTGGCGACACCCCTCAAGCCCATGATCGGGCTCACCGAGTCGGTAAGCAAGCGGGCTAAAACTGTCAAGTCTTTTGCTCAAGGGCTTGCTCGTGGTTTGGTTCAAGAGTGCTGTTCCCCCCGTGCCCCATCATCAGATGGCCCCAAGCACGCCCTTCCCCCGCACTTCCCAGCCCTCTCTCCTCCACCCCGCACCAGGACGACCCGCAGGTCCCCAGGATGCTTTAAGGTGTTTCGAGCAGTGCCACAGCCTCTCGCACCTTCTAGGGTACAGGTGACTTGTCTTGAGCTGCCAATAACCAACAACTATTGACTTTTTTTGACAGCTGATTTTTCCGCTAAGCTCCCGCCAAAGTATTTTCCGCCAATTTTTTTGCTGCTATACCTGCTGATCCCCGAAAGACACTCACTGCTTTGTGTTGTATTGGGATTTTCGCAGGGACTCCAAATTAGGTACAACCGGGACTTTGAAGCGATCTCCAAGTCGCTAGCGCTTGCACACGGCTGGCTATTCGACGGGAAGGTATGAGAATGAGACCTCCGCAGGACCAGGGGGCGCCACAGGGGCTCGGCCGTGGGCTCGACTCGTGAGCCTCCAAGGCTCCACGTTCCTTTTTGAATTTTTTCATACGCGGCGTCCGGACGTTCGACCTGCACGGGGAAATGATGAGCCGTAAAGCTGAACCAATAGCTAACTGAGGGTTAACTAATTATTTAGAGCCATGTAAATAAAAATTTAGCAATGTTTAGGCTATGTAGCTATTTTTTAGCTACACAGCTAAATTTTTTGCTTCACACCTAATGTTTTTATCTACAAAAAGAAAGCCAAAATTTTCAGCTACTTAGCTAAATGATCAGTTTTCCCCTCATTGGCTCTTGTTTAGCTACGTCGCTAATCTTTCTCCCGTGCGAGCCGTGCGCCTAGGCTGGCTGACGCCGAGCTGTCGCCGAGCTGTCGCCGAGCTAACGCCGAGCTGACGCGTCCGCGACCTCTGGTGCCCCCGTGGTCCTCGAGCTCCGGCCGTCAAAGCGTGCCGAGGGCTGTGCCAAGGGCGTGCCCTGCACGCGCAGCAGGCGGCTGTGGCCAGTGGTTACTAGAGGGCCTCTTTAGATGACAACTAGTCGCCCATATTAGTTTTATAGCATTATCATTGTCCAGTTAAGCACGGCCTGTCCAGTTTTTTTGCTCCGTGTGGACAAAACAAAAGGAGGAGAGAGGGTTCATCACAAAGGTTTCATGTATCAAATAAATAAAGAGAGATAGAGAGAGTAATTTTGCTGGTTTAGTTTGGTTCTTCTAAAACTGCACTCGAGATTAGACGGGATTATTTAAGTAGTGCTGTCCTTCAGGGTCACCTATCTAGATGCCCTAGGGCACCCCAATCCCTTCCTTTCCCTAAAATAATCAGATTGTTTCGATATAAAAAATCCTATAGCATCAGGAAGAAAACTAAAGGAGCGCGAAGGCTTCAATAAAGGGATATCACACCACACCCGGCTCACAGTGTAAATACAACAGTTGACACTTCATAACGTTAACTTCCCTAGCGATTTTGGTGTGATATCGAATCGATTATGGTTGGAAGCCCTGGAAAAGTTTTCGTAAAATTTTCGGGGAAAACAAAATTTTTCCCAGAACTCGGAAATTTTTCAATTTTTCCCGGAAATTTTCTGAAATTTTCTGCAATTTTCCAGAAAATTTCCAGGGCTTCTAGCCCTAGGATCTATGTCGAAACGATTCAACAATTTTCCGATATCGATATGGGTCAAATGTTGTTTCGATATATCGATATATCAGCACGTCCCTGAAGCCCCAGTAGTGTTCGCAGGACGCGGACGTGCTCACCTCTCCGCCCGCCCTGAGCGTGGCGCCGTCGGCCTCCACCGAGCTGTCCAACCTGTCCTCGCCCGTGGACCAGGAAGCCGTCGAGAGGATGGAGCGCTCGCCCACGGCCGACTACCTGGTGCCCACCATGCCCCTGGGCATCGCCCTCACGCCCAGCCACGTCGCGCTGCCGTCCGCACCGCCCGTGCCCCACCGGCCGCCCCTGGGGCCCGCCCCCGGGGGCGGTGAGGGCTGGCTGCCCGGCACCACCCCCACCCGTGAGTAGCCCC